ACCTCGTTGATAAGGTGGCAGCCGGTGCCGATTTCATCATGACTCAGCTATTCTTTGATTTCCAAGCCTACGAACACTTTGAGAATACACTCAGAGAGCACCCCAGCGGTGTCTTCAAGACGATACCCATCCTCCCAGGTCTCATGCCCATCCAGAGCTATCAGATGATCAAACGAACGACCAAATTGAGTCACGCCAAAGTTCCCGAGGATATACACTCACGTCTGGATGCCGTCAAAGGAGATGATGAGAAAGTCAAAGCAATCGGTGTCGATATTGTCAGTGAACTGGTGGAGAAGATCAAAGTCGTCAAGAACAAGACTCCTGGTCCCCAGGGATTTCACTTTTACACATTGAATCTCGAGAAGGCTGTCTCGTTCATTGTAGAGAGAACTCACCTAATCCCCAAGATTCCAGATGAAGAAGAAGCAGTCATCGATGGACCCCCTATCACACTCCAGATCAATGGCGATCCTGCTGGAAAGATTCGCTCCCGGTTTTCAAGGCGTAAGTCGTCTTCGGTGGCCTCCGATCCACACAACAGAGTCATCGCCAAAGATGGCCAACTTTCAAATCCTGAATGGGAGGCGTCGGGGCAGGAAGCTGGCCTCAGTGCAGAAACCCCCAATACCCGTTCCAACACGTTGGCCATCTCGGAAGGTGAGGGCGTCTTGGGACGAGAGGCTACATGGGACGACTTTCCCAACGGTCGTTTTGGTGATTCTAGATCACCCGCGTATGGTGAGATTGACGGCTACGGTGTGAACATTCACATGACCCCCACCCAAGCCATCAGACTCTGGGGCCACCCCAAATCTCGGGAGGAGATCAATGATCTTTTTGTTAAACATATCAAAGGAGAATTAGCTGCTATCCCTTGGAGCGAAGAGGAACTACTCGCAGAGAGTTCAATTATCAGCAGCCACCTCATGAAGCTCAACACTAAGGGTTGGTGGACGGTGGCTTCTCAGCCTGCCGTCAACGGACTACGCTCATCCGATTCAACCTTTGGATGGGGTCCCGCGAACGGATTCGTGTTCCAGAAGGCATTCGTTGAATTCTTCCTTTCTTCCTCAGACTGGTCTGTTCTCCTGGAGAAGCTCAAGGCACCTGCCGCAGAGGGAACCATATGCTTTTATGCCTTGAACGCCAAGGGTGACTTTGTTTCTTCAAACCTGAGCACCTTTGCCAGCAGTGGCAGCGCCGCCTCGTCCGACACTAACGCGGTCACCTGGGGTGTGTTCCCGGGCAAAGAAATTGTTACGCCGACCATCATCGAGGAGGTCAGTTTCCGAGCATGGAGCGAGGAAGCGTTTGGAATCTGGGGAGAATGGGCCAGAGTATACAGCCGGGGATCAGAGAGCGAGAAGCTGCTGAACGGAATCAAGGATGACTGTTGGCTCGTGAACATTATCCATCACGACTTCGTGGAGCAGGACGCATTGTGGGATTTATTGATGGGATAGGTTGAGCGAGTGAGCATCAGGCGAATGCTCTCTGGAGCAGGTGTCCATATCGTTCACTCTGGTAATTTCAATTTGGCGGTGTTTAATCACAATCGCATATGGAGAGAGTGATGGTGTATCATTGAAGGGTGAAATAGAATTGCGCTGAGAATTGTATGTAGATAGCATTAAGGAGGTGTTTTTTGCTATTCAATATATCATCATGTACATACGCCTGTACTAAGAGCTTTATGTTTTACTTCACTAAGTGGTGATAAGTGTGGAAGCTTTGGCTGATGTAGCTCTCCACCAGCGTTAAAGCCAAATTGGTCAATGGCGGCTGATAACAGGAACAAAAACGTTGCCGTATCTCAAGTTCTAATACAGGCTACAACATTTACAGCCAATGATTTGAAATATTAACTCATAATTGACTAATTTTTAGAAAGAATTATACACTGCTGCATAAAACAAGCATTGTAATGTGACTGCCACAGCTCTTCCATCGAGGCGGCCTTGTGGTACTTCATCGGTACTTCAGGCGTAACCGCATTTCGATGCTTCTTCAGCCCTTAGCAAAAGTCAATGTTGCTTTGTTAAAGTCCTCGTAAGATTCATGTAATCGTGCCGCCGGCATTCGTTTCGGAAACGCCATTTGTCATGTCCCAGCACCATTTGCACTCTACCGCGAAAGCCTCGCTTGCGCCCAGTCTCCAGTCCCTCCCATGACGTCCTTGTCCCGGGCTTCCTTCTTCTCACCACAACGAGTCATAGCACACTGCCGGACTGGTCGTAGACATACCCCACGACAGGATCAGATCAGCCCCTCCTCATCCGAAACGTCATCTGCCACCCCACCATCATGCCCGAGAGCGTAAACAGACACGTTGTATTCGACGACGACGACCCTGGAGCCAGCGACGATGAGTGCCCCAGTGTCGAGGTACGTTGGCCGGAACCCGTCGCACCCAGCAGAGCGTGCTTGTTGTCGCTGACCAGAGCCGCCAAACGCAGGTGACCTTTGACCCCTCGAGCTCGTTCCGGCGGAAGAGCTCCATGGTCTCGTCGGAGATCAGGAAACCCGCACTGCCGCCACGACCGGTGCGCCGCGACGAGTGCATCGTCCACCAGTTCCTCGAGAGCCAGAGGCGCGCCGCCAAAGGTGGTGCCGGCAGCAGCGACGCCGGCTCCGACCAATGCCTCTCCCCGGGGAGCCCCAGCGACAACAGCACGACGCCCACCGTCGATAACCATCACCATGCCTTCCATCCTCCCGGCACGGACGGGCTGGGCCCCCACGGGGCCAAGTACCCCAGGTCGCGAGCGATTGTCGAGCTCAAGAGCCTGGAGAAGGACGTCAATGGCCAGGCGGACCAGCAGGCGTGGACGAGGGAGATGACCAAGAGCCTCTCGGAGCTGGACCTGACGCAGTACGAGGACGTCCACAGCCGCACCCTCACCAAGAAGCAGCTCAGCGACATGGCCTGGGGCGTGCGCGAGCTCAGCAGGCGCCTGAGCAGCATGCGCATCCGCTTCCGCGTCAAGTCCGTCTTCCTCCTCACAAAGGTCTACGACCAGGACCTCATCCCCAAGACCCGCGAGGTGACGCTGTGGCTCCTGGACAAGTGCCGCGACGTGCGGTACACCGTCTACGTCCAGGACACGCTGCGGACGAACAAGAAGTTCGACATGGCCGGTCTCGTGGTCGAGGCGGCCAAGACCTACGGCAACCCCGGCGAGGAGGAGTACGAGCGAGCGTTGCTGGATATAAAGAGGCGGCTCAAATACTGGGATGAGGAGATGTGCAGGTCACGGCCCCAGATGTTCGACTTTGTCATCACCCTCGGCGGCGACGGCACCGTGCTGTACGCGAGCTGGCTGTTCCAGAGGATAGTACCTCCGGTCCTCAGCTTCGCACTCGGGAGTCTAGGCTTCCTCACCAAGTTCGACTTTGATGATTTTGCACCTACGTTAGAATCCGCGTTCAGCAAGGGCGTCACCGTGAGCCTCAGATTACGGTTCGAAGGCACAGTGATGAGAAGCAAACGACGATCAACCAGGGCCATCCGGTCAGGTACATCCGACGAGGACGACGAGGACGAGAATCACACACGGGACCTGGTGGAGGAGCTCATCGGCGAGGAGAAGGAAGACGCGCGAACCCACCGCCCCGACGGAACCTACGAGATCCTCAACGAGATCGTTGTCGATCGGGGGCCAAACCCAAGTAAGTCAAAACAGCCTCCATGCTAAGCTTGCCAAATACCCCAAGACGGTGCCATCCATGCCCACGAGTCAACTAACAGCCAACCCCCTCCAGCCATGTCCTACACGGAGCTCTTCGGCGACGACGAGCACTTCACCTCCATCCTCGCCGACGGCATCTGCGTGTCCACGCCGACCGGCTCGACGGCCTACAACCTCGCCGCGGGCGGCTCGCTCTGCCACCCCGAGAACCCCGTCATGCTCGTCACCTCCATCTGCGCCCACACCCTCTCCTTCCGCCCCATCATCCTCCCGGACACCATCGTCCTCCGCGTGGGAGTCCCCTACGACGCCCGCACGTCGAGCTGGGCCAGCTTCGACGGCCGCGAGCGCGTCGAGCTGAAGCCGGGAGACTACGTCACCATCAGCGCCAGCCGCTACCCCTTCGCCACGGTGCAGGCCGAGGGCCGCCGCAGCGAGGACTGGATAAACAGCATCAGCGGCAAGCTGGGCTGGAACACGAGGCAGAAGCAGAAGAGCTTCAAGGAGTGGGAGCACTGAAGAATTTCTCCGGTCACATACATTGCATACATACACAAGGGGATATATATCGTCGTTTTTTTCAGGCATGTAGTTCAGTAGTTTACCTATCAAATCAGGAGTTTGCGGGCCATCTATGCTTCTTTGACGCCGCTGTAGGGCAGGGGAATGGGCAATTAGACTCGAACCAGATACGAAAAGAAGAAAAACACCATAAACGAATATGGGGTAGACCACAGAGGCAATGGAATTTGATTTCTCGTGAATAGCCCGAGCATTGAGTTGTGCTTCTAGCCACCCGCAGTGTAATCCGAGAAAGAATGTACAACACGGCAAAACAATGGCCCGGCACATTGCATAACTCTCCTCCTTGCAGAGTCCTCATTCTCGCTGTTGCGATCCGACCACACGCACGCACCTGGTGGTGATCGCGCCCCAACGAGACCATTGAGGCATCTCAAACAGCTCGGATTTTTGGCTTCGGAACACATTTCTGAATCATGAAGCACCTAATACTTGTAGGGGCGTGTTACTTAGATACCATTCTCAGGGAAGCCAACGAGTGAACCGTGTCTACGATGTGAGACTGCTGACTTACGTCCGGCTAGTGTACCGTTCTTCCCGGAAGAAGACTCAAAGCTCCGTGCGACCAGCCTGTCCATCCGTCGTGGAGGCAACTGCCCAAACTCGCTCGAGGTGCTCCAGCAGATCCTTGTGCAACAGGAAACTGTTGGACTATACCTCATTACATGTCTCCCAAGCAGGGCGTCCTCAGCAACGCGTCGGGTCATCGGGTCGTTTGGAGAACAGTCACTCGTCAACCTTGACCACTGTCTCTATCGGGAGGCGTACGACGAAGCAGCAAGTAGCTATGTCATCCGGGGCGAGCGGAGCAGCAGTCGCACAATCATCAACTACAACGACTTACCTGAAATGACACCTGACGAATTCAAGCAGAAGGCAGGGGCGTTTGACGCGGACCAAGAGACCTGGTGGCACTTTGAGGTGAGAGTAAACCAGTGAGGATCAAGACGGGCAACTCCGCTGGGCCCATATGCCGCCGCTCGCGAAGGGATAACGGTCCAGAACGGGATCACTGATTGTTGTCCTTGCAGGGGCGAATCCCAGACACAACGCTCAGTTGCATTCGCCATGTACGCAAAACACAGCCCAAGGCGCGGATCAGCGTCGAGGTTGAGAAGCCCGGACGATCAGGCCTTCCAGAGTTGGCGGCTGAGGCGGATGTCGTCTTCTACTCGCGGAGCTGGGCCGAGGTACGGTGAACAACAACACAGCATGCGGTCAAATCCTGATCGGTTGTGGAAAGGTGGCAGGCAGGGTGCTAAACCGTCATGATCAGGGTCGTGGATACCATTCCCCCGAGGCGTTTCTCAGGAGCGAAACACCGCCGAAAGTGTAAGACATCAACATTGTGAGACCCCTACGGACAACCCTTGTCTTCTGACTTGCAGTCGTGCCATGTCTTAGATCGTTGGCCCTGTGTACCTGGGGCGCTGACGGAGCCGCTGCCCTGTCTCGGTCTACGAAGGAGGAGGAGGAGTGTTTCCTCTGCCCAGTTCCAAAGAAGGCGATTGCCGTTATCGAGTACGTGCATTCAAGTTGAGCCAGGACCTCGCTAGCTGTGTGACCCGGTTGCAGCTAGATCGACCAGTCCAACTGTGATTCCCCACGGAGAGGGTACACGAATTGGCTAACACATGCAGCAGCCCCGTGGGTGCGGGCGACACGTTCATCGGCGGTATGCTGTATGGCTTGGTATGCCAGAGCCAGAGCTGGGATGTCAGACGCAAGGTCGAGTTTGCGGTTGGGCTGGCCACCCGCAAAGTACAGCAGGAGGGGTTTGGTGGGCTCGACGCAGCTCGTACTTGGGGTTAAAAATGCCTCGTGATCATCTCTGGCATTGCTCTGCTGCTCAATGGCGCGCTGGGGCTTGGTTAATGGATGGGGAGAGGTATTGTCCAGTGGGTCTGGTCAAACAGGGCGGCGTTCAAGCACACGTACTGGTAGCCCCGTGTATCATGGGGCTGGTGGCGGGAGTAGTTGCATTCTGGGCAGCTGGGCAGGCAGGAGGAGTGCGTCCGTGGTGCGGCAGCTGTATGAGGGTGGCCCACGGCAGGTCGTGTCTCCCGCCCAGCGGCAAATTGATCTGTGTCTCCGAGGTGGTGATAATGGTTAGTGGTTGTGGAGGCTGCAGCCCGAAAGAAGCGGTGAAATGTGTGTGGTGGAGCTCTCGCAACACACTGCGCCTACCCGTGAGCCAACATGCCGGGCTTGGGCCTACCAGCAGGCGCCATGCAGGCATTCACACCGCGAGAGCCAGCGCCTTCCGCCGCTGGGAGGTAGTGGATCCCCAGGAAGGCTGGTACGTACCGCTCTCACGACGAATCAGCTCGGCCCAGTCAGACCGGATGCCTCGCATCCTCGTAGCGTCTCAAGTTGCCGGCGATGTGCGCTGCACAGAGGCCTACCAACCGTCCAACACATCGGGAGAAGCAGGGGCCTCCAGGCTGCCCAACGCAACGCAACCATTAACGATATCCTCCGGTGAACGAGAAGGGCGGGAGGGAGCCTTCCGGCGGTATGCTAGGTGTAGGTTAGGCAGCTGTTCCAGATCCAGCTAAAGGTCAGTCACCCAGGGACTTGCCAGGTACCTCGCCAAGCACGGGTCATTTGCAGTGGCCACATGTACTGGTCAGGAGACTGGCACGAGGTGGCTTCCCAAACGCACCCGCTTTCACTTGCTCCCTTTGTCCATGCAGCCACAATGCAAGAAACAATAACATCCCACGCCCTAGTTGCGAGTTGCAATTGTCAAGGCTGCAACACTAATGCCTTCTCTTGCCCGAGGTTGCATTTGGCGCTATGAGGTACATACATCCATACCATACCTTGCATATGTGTATACCTTATGCATGCATGCAGGCGAGTCCTGCACGGTACAATATGTATGCATGTACTTGCCGATGAGATTTCTCAACACATCAAAGTGCAACAACATCTCACCAAGCTTGGGCTAGAGTCTCTCACGAGTGCGTCTGGGAAGGGCACCTCCTCGCCCAGCACTAATCCAGCTGGGCTATTGTGCTGGCTCCATATCTGCGGCACCGCAAGCCCCTCGAGTTCCAGGCCTCCATAGTCTCCGTGGATCCAGAGACACGACTTTGAAATGCGACGGGCTGGCGACAGGGAACTTTATTAATGTGTAATAACTCGCCGTCGAGCGTCAATGTCACGTTGATCAGCCCCGAAACGAGTCGGCCCTGACCTGGCTAATTTCAAGTTTTCGATCGCTCAGGAATGGGTGCATATTCCAGCCGAGATGCGCCAGACAAGTAAGTGCTGGAGGGTATGTGGTCATCACAGCTCCAGAATCAGGACGTATATTATCCGGATAACCGAAGGGAGCGGGTTGCTCAAGTCATAGGAAGAGTCACCAGTTGAGATTCGTAAGACGGTGTATGTGTGATGATGTGCCAACTTGCGGGCGGGGAGTACCCAAATTCGCGGTTCGCTGCAGCTGCATCTGCACCAGCATCTGCCTTGCCCTTGATATTATCGTGATGAACTAGGGCCGCCGGGACGCATGTGTGTGTGGCTAGGCATGTATTATCAAGCAGAGAAAAACACTATACCGACTCTACCACACAAGATAAGGAAGCCGTCTCTTTCTTGTTGGGAGGGAGTGGTGGTGGGGGTGTGTTTTCGCGACGCCGTTGCAGCTTTCATAGCGTCACCTCGAATAATGCGGGGAAGGGAGTGGAGGGGGTGTGCACACGTAAAAGAGGCTGCCACTGATTGTGTTTGACCACTCCATCAACATCGAGAGTTCCGATCGCCACTAGCGGAGATCGCTAGAGCTTCTCATTTCTACGCATACGAGTTGCACTTACTCGCTTGGCTTTCAAGAGACGGAATGAGAATTCGACGCAACCACAGCCGACTCTAGGGTATTGAGAGGATCCCCACTGTGATCGTCCCTTGGCCGGATTCTCACTGGTCAGGCACAGGGATGGTTGGTAAGAAATGATCGAGAGATGGAACTGTGATGCAACGCAGGAAATGCGAGTGCACAGCGATGCTTGTGTTTCGGTGCCAATCAAAGCCGCGGATGAGAAAGCACCCCAAATCGAGGAATGGACATGCCTACGTAGTCTACTGGCACCTACCTGTGTATTAGACATGCTCCTTGCCTATCGCTGCATGCTGGCCAAGGTGATATCACAACACCATACTCACCTGCATCATGGCAACTCCGAGTCAGCTCCTGTGCTACTATAGCCACGCGGTTCCATTCCCCGGTCCCATAAGGTCCCATAAAAAGGTGTCTAGCCCGAGGACAATCAATCCTGAGCCGACTTATTAAGGTAGTCAATACCACGACCGGACGGCCCTTTCACGTACCCAATGGCAATCGTGTCTCAGGTTCCCAGAGGGTACAGGGCATACGCTCCCAGTCGGCCGTCAAGGCGACGAAGCACAATACTTCCCTTTGAGACATGGTAAATCAGAGCTGGAGACCCTCACTTGGGCCGCCCTACAGAGCCTGGGCACGCATCATTCCAGGATGTGACGGCCACACTCGACGAGGCCTACACCTGACAATTCCCTTCCCGAATTCTCGTTTGGAATTACCCTGGGCGCCACAAGACGGAGGGGTAGATGAATATTGTCCTGAATGAAACGAGTCGTGCCAAGATAGCAAGTTAGTTCTGATAGTAAGGCCGCAGCGCCATGAGACATCGAGTCAAAATCCCGAGCATGGCGTATCCTGGTCACCGCGTCGTCTGCAGAGGCTGCATTTTCTGTTGGGTTGTTGATCACCCAGGCAGAGGCGCCCGAAAGGAAAAGGATTCCTTGTCCCGAAACTACCTAGAGAAACACCTTCTGGTGGGCGGCATGAGCGGGCCAAGGTATTTAGAGAAATGACACGCAGTCTGCTGTTTTAGTAGAATTCGTCATAGGCGACAGGCATGTTTGTCACGGTTTGACGAGTTTCCAGGGTGAGAGCGTGAATGAGTCACCACCAGCCAAGTCGGTGTCGAAACGCTAGTGGTTGATTGCGGTGGACAAGCTTCGAGCAAAATAACGAAAGAGAAAACCCGGCGCCATGAATAGAGGCAGGCGCAGCAAACTAGCTTTGTTAGGGGATGGCCTGTAAGAACGCACGAGGAGATGGTTGCACCCTTGAAACCTTGGGAGGATTTATTGCGCGAATATGGTGACATGGCCAGCCAGGCTGTGATGTAGGCGAGGCAATAAAAGCTGAAGGGTGCGCAATGCAGAGTTCGTGACGGGGCCGCCCGCTAACTGTCCATTACTCCGGCTCGGCTTGATGACGAGGCCTGCTGACCGTGTGCTCAGGAATGGCGTGGGTATGGACCTAGTACATTCTCGCCTCCAGCTGGCGATGAATTAAGGCCTAGTAGTGGTGCACGATGGAGGTTAAAAAAAAGGGGTGACATTCAGCACTGCAAATGGAGATGATGGAGCGGCATCACTGCCTGCTTAGGCTGGTACGACAGGCGGCGCCCCGCTGCGACAGAGCAGATTTGCTTGGGAGGCTGCCTGTCGTAGGCTTGCTGACACCAGCAGCAGGTGAAATGAGAGGAAATGAGAGTTGCAGCCCACCGCCGTCAGGATCGGGGAACGGAGCCGTCGCGGACTGAGGAGTGACCTCAGATATGCATCATGTTGGGTTCCAGGCCGTGTGGATGGATGTGTGGGCGACGCCAGCCAAAGGTCCTCACATCACCCTCTCAGGCCTCCACTTCTGGTTCGAAGCCGGGGCCAGGAATGACTGCCTGCCTGCCTGGGTCACTGCAGTCATCAGCTGGCGGAGCACAATGGGCGGGCGGTGGGTGGCTTTGGGCTGGGTTGGGGGCGTCGCCGGGGCACAAAACAGGTCGAACAGGGCACTCAACACAGTAGATCCAAAGGGTTTCAGGCGGAGGCGCCCAGTATAATTAGCCCGCTAAGACCGCTAGCAGGCGAACTATGCCTGTGGATGATCCCTCAGCGGGCTCAGTCTCAGCTGCTCCTGTGGCAGGGAAGGGCGGTGGGGTCCAGCAGAAACGAGACAAGCAAGGGGAGAAGAGGGGAAAAAGAAAGGACCCGATATGAGCAGAGCGCGGGACAATCATGCCTAAGTAACCGGCTTTGGTGAAGGATCCCTTGGCTGCCAGTCATCTCTTTGCGTAGTGTTTTCTTTTGCTGGAGCGGCCTAATGAAGCTATAGCGCATCGGCTACCACATACTAGCAAGGCTCCTCGCAGCTGCTCATTGGCTGACCAGTCAATCTTGCGGTTATCGCCCTCATCCCGGTGTTTCTTTGTTGATTGACGTGGCCGTCAGGCGCATGGAGCTGCTCCTGTTCTCAGGGCGTAAGTCCTGGGCCTGTGATGCTCCAAATCAGATCCACTTGGAGCTATGAAGTAATGTTCGCCCAGAAGTTGCACAGTCGTTCGCTAAGATTCGGTACTTGATGATCTTGTAGATTTTCGTATTGGTATGCCAATGTAATGTCGTGTTGGGTCCAACGGCCTGGATGTCATGGTCATAGACCGGAACCTTGTCGCTGTAGGCACCGGCCTTGTGCTTCTTCCTGGCCGACCTGAGGTATTAGCCGATGGCGGCGACAAACTGCACAGTGCAGCTGACTGCAGTTCCTCGAATCTGTGATGGATGGCTGTGGATGGATGGTGTGGTGGTTTCGCTTCAATGCATCAATCACTCGTCTCCCGTGCTGAGCAGGACCATTGGATCCACTTCGCTCCGAGGGAGCCAGCCCCATAGTTTCTAGGCGCCCGGGCGGTGAGGTTGCCCTTTGCTCCCTGTGTTAAGGAGTGCAGGGTCACACTTGCCGGAAGAGGAAATGACCAGCTCTTTCCGCTCCGCCTCACTGGGCTCGTCTCAACTTTGCTTGTGGCTCCAGCTCGTGTGGGAGAGCGAGTGCCCGAGATTGACTGTACAGAGTACAAGTGCGTGTACATATTTGTGTGTGGACGCAGACCTTGCCCGCATGTCCCCATATACCTGCGCATCCAAGCACAGCGCCGACCCCGAAGGCCATCAGGGATAGTAGATCCATCGTCACAGTCTATTTTCTCGTATGCTTACCTTGCCTTAGATAATTGCATTGCCTGTCCTCCTAATTCTTGTTCGCTCTAAATAGTAGGAGAAAAGTTCTTCTGCTAGCATGTATATCGTCCTTGCTTATTATGGTGCTATTTCAAGATTTGCACCAAAAGCCACCCGCTAACTTTGCCATCCTTGAGGCCGGGCTGTCCAGTTGGCGAGACCTGCAGCTCCACCAGAGCTCATCACCCACCCTTTCAAGTTTTCCTTCTTCCTCCCCACAGCTAGGCGGCACAGTAGCACCAGTTCACTATTGAATCCCTGGGAGCCTTAATAATAAGTCACCGTAACTGGCTCCGCCGGCTCATACGCTACGTTGAGAACAGCAATCTGCACAGCATCATTTGTCGTACAGGCTGTGAAAGCAAGCCCACCCGAGTTGTGTCAAGCATTCTTCTAGCTCTGCCTCCTATTTGTTTTTGTTTTTGCTACAAGTTGTAGAAGCGCTCTGCTGCTCCTATTCCCTGTCCCACATGCCGATGTCCCTTTGGGAATCCCAAATGCACATTCCACAACCAACAGCCAATTTAATTACTATCCGTAGAGGAGGGATTTGGTTCGGATAGTCATCCAAGCCCCGGTCTGCAATGGGGGTGCGGAATAAATGACGTTAGAAGATCGCTGGCTTCTAAACTGGACTCTTGGCCAGAATAATCTCCCAATTTGCCTGGCTTTGTACATATGATTAGAAACGTATGGTCGAAAGTGCATGTCTTCATTCCTGCATGATAGGCCCACTCCGACTCCTCCCAATCACTTTAAAATCTGTGCTGTGTATCCGAGGAGGTGTCCCTGATATCTGTATCGAAGGGGGGGTGGCAAGACAGGCTGACCCGATGAGCCAATCCCGACACAGGCTCACATTCACATCCTACCTAAAGTAGATTTTGCTGGAATCCACAGGGATGATGGACACAAGAGCTGTTGTACACCTAGTCCCCAAATCATCGATGGATCCCCACCTCTCCCGGTGGAGCGTTCCCAAACCACCTTCAGGGCACGACACCAGGACCCCAAGCCAACAGTCATGCGGACACCCCCCGTTGCTGTGGTCAGCGCGCCAGGAGGCGGACAGCCAGCATGTCTGGCCGCGCAACCTTTACGGCCGATGTTCTAGCCCGACGCCCATAGCGTGCGCCCAAGCCCTTCCCCATCCCTTGGATGGATCCGAGAGCGGCAAGGGATAACGTTTCGCGGGAAGTTTTTGGTGGGGTGGGCGAAATCCATGTGCGGCCTGCCTGGTTAGTCTCACAGGTCGAGAAGGCTCTATTCTTGCGCTGGCTGCCGACAGGGGCTTGGTAGGGTTCGAGTGGACTCCCCTTAGCAGGTTGCCATCGCTTCACGATGCTGTCTGTTTTTGAAACTCCGAGCAGATCAACCTAAGCGCCTGCCTGAGCAAACTTTGCCTTTCGCTTCCTCGTCACATTCCACCCGAGACTTTGAGCCTGGTCATGGCCGAGAGGAGCAGTCCTGATTGATGTCTTGGGCCGGAGGGGCCATCCTGCCTGGCTAAAAATGCTCCCTTGCTGTAATGAAGCCTTCCGAGACACATGGGAGATCTCAGCATGCTCACTTGCCTCCCCCCGGACGAATACTACGGTGTTGTGTGAGTGCGTGCGTGCGCGTGTGTGTCGATGTACTCCCGTCACACGATGAGAGGCTGCCACTGGGCTTGTGTGGACAAAGATGCCTCACATGCGTTGTGCATGCGTCTGGGCCTGGGATGGGATAGCTCCATTAGACTGGCAAGCCGCAAGCAAGCCCGGTCACGGTCATGGGCAAGGCCGTCGTTGTCGTCCGCACTGGCGAGTGGGCACCAACAGCGTGTGTGTCCATCCATAATATCATGTAGGTACCTACATCCAGATCAAGAGGCTGGTCTCCAACGCATGTCCACCCACATTAATCAACGCGCGCTTTCGAACTATCGCCTCCGCCGGGCCACCAACCAGAGCAGATGATGGATCCCTTTTTCATGTTTCCATTTCTAGCCCGGAATCCGGTCGGCACACCCCCCTGTTTGGACCCATATGACGCAGCCTTCCACTTGACTCCCGGCCTACCACACGCTTCTATCCACAATCACAATGCCAATCCCGGTAAGGGTGCTAAAAGACAATCCTGCAGAAAAGAGGTTTTGTATATGCACAACTCTGGCTAGCGCAGTCGTAGCCAGGGGACTGGAAGGCCCCTGTGCTGGGACCCGCAGTCGCTTCGATCTCCCCCGTGGATGCAACCCGCCGGGCCTGTTTGCTGGCTGGCGCATTACGATGCTAGTGATTGATGGCCCATGTCGCCCTTTTTTTAATACTTCAGTTTTATTTCTCGCCTGCAAGTACTTTGTCTACTGTCTCGACGGCCCACAGGCCACCAGATCCATCCATGGCCGACTTGGCCTTGATCCGACTACGACTAGGTTGTAGCCACTTATTATTGTTCTCCAGACCATCCTAATGTGGCACATGTTTTCTCACTCCCTGGCGCAGGGAACCACCTCATAGTAGCGCCTTCCAATGTCTTTCCGGACTATGATACATAACCCATTCGATCCCAGGGCTTGTCCATCTCTTCATCGACCATGCATCTGACTACTTGAAGGAACTCTGACATTTCTTAATTCTTCTCAGCGTTTCCTTTTAAACCAACCATCACCTCTCTCACATCTTGTTTCCTTCCCTCACCATTACAGCAACACGCTTCTCTACACCACATACCGCCACCCACACCTCTCATAATGTATTCTCTCAACGGGGGCATCTCTCCAGGCTTTCTGCCCATGGAGCCACAAGATGCTTTTCTCGACACCTGGGCCACGCAGCAAGCTGTTTCCGAAGCATCTCGACGACGATCTCGAAGCAGTGTACAATATTCTGGGCCATCTATGAGAGTGGTGAAGCCCACCAGCGCCAACAACAGCCCAAGAAGACCCGCTGCATCTCAACGAAGACCCATGGTTGTCAACGACAACCAACTCTACAAGCGGCCCGAGCAGCTTCCCATCTCTCGACCAGCAAACCCCAGAACCTCACGACCTGTTAGCTGGCATCCCAGCTCACAATTCTACGGAATTCCAACCATCAATCAACTGCCGCAGCAATACTACCCTCTCACCACTCCTCGGTTATTTCCTGACCAGCAGGACGCATCCACGGGATGTCCTTCGCTGTCACCAATGATGACCTCCTATTCACCCAACACATCTCCCTCATCTGGATTCTCCCCTCTTCCTGTTGAGTACCCAGGTACTGTTCCCCAATATCTGAACCCTACCGGCTGGGATACTATCAACACCAACAACAATGGATCATATTTCCCCATGTACACGGAGCTCCCAGCGAACGAGACGCCTGTTGCGGAGTCCACCGAGTGGCAACCATACATGCATGGTCTCGGCAATACTACACCTCCTACTCCCGACTCGACCATGTACTCTCAACAGCCCCAGCCTGCAGTCTCTGAAGATCCAGCTCGCTATGACACACTTGAAGAGCCCGAGGAAGAGGGGGAGATTCTCGTTGGAATGGGCCTTTACGATGCTCCAGAGAAATATGATGAGGATCCTCAACTGAACAACTACCGATCTACTACTTCATCCCTCTTCAGCTCCACCTACCGTTCCAATGAACCCACCGGAAAGGGCCTGAAGCTCGAGGAGACCTGGGAGCCTCCCACCTCTGATGGAGAAGGGGAGGATGACGAGGAGGAAGAGGATGATGAGGATGCCTCCGAATAAGCGAGACGCAACTCAAAACCTACACACCTGAGGCCAACTGGATTGGATCAGATATACTGGCATGATTAACGACGAAAAACATTGGGACTGAATTATCAACTGGCGCTTTAAACTAGGAATGGGCATTGGGATGGGCATGTACGGGCGCCCGCAACGGTGCAATGAGCGGATTATCAGGACATGAATACCCAGGCTCAAATTAGCGATTATGAATTTTATTAGATAGAACCCCACAAATGAATCAATACAAACCAAACCCAGTACGAGCTGTGCCAGAACCGTGACATTCTCCTTGTCTACGTGTGCTTGACGAGCTAACACTCTTGACAGACTTCGTTCATTCATCCAAAGCAACTGCTTTCATGCACAAGCTAACCCACGATGACGCTAATCAAGCGAACAGAGCCGCCAGTGGATCCCTGTCAGACATGTGAGGCTGGGTCCGTGCAATCCCTGCCAACTGACTTTGCCGGGCCTTGATTGGATGGCAAATCCCAAACTCTCGACTCACCCCCGCCGGTTCCTTTTGCACCCCTGCACCCTGTACCCTGGCGGCGGTTTTTCTCTTAATTCCCCATTTCGGAGATGCGTCGCTCACGGCCTCTTTTTCGCGCCACATTTCTCCACTGCGTGCCGTGGCTTGGAGGGGGGCTGTCAAGCCACCAAGGCATTCCTCCATCGTTTGTGGCGTCTGGCGTTCGCTGTAACCGCCGGAATGGAACAGGCAGCGACAATAATAATCCCAAGGGGCAGGGTAGGTATTTCGCCGTAAGCCACAGGGAAAACGAGACCATTCCAGTCCCCGGAGCAAATGGCCAGCCAGCAGGCGCTGGGCCGCGTCGGATGCAGCAAAACGGACGAGCATGAAAATCCAGGCTGATCTTAGCAGGCGACCGACAGCCAAGGATGGGACGCCCCCCTCCTCCTCCTCCTCCCCCTCCTCTTCCATACTTTTGGGCAACGACCACGGCCCATGTTCCCGCTATCAACCTTTCGAGTCAGTGCAGCGCGTTGGGTTTGATTGGGGGGCAGCCATGCATGGCCTCTGCGTTTCCCTCACCCGAGCGTGGGTGGCTTTTGCTTGTGCGCGCAGGGGACGTTCTGTTCTGAAATAGCACCGATGGGACCCCGCCATGGGACCATGCCCGGGCTTTGCCTTGCGCTATGACTGGCTGGCAAATGGTACTTGCCGCGCTCTTCGCTCCCTGACACTGGGCTGGGCTGAGGGGGGGACCGAAAGGCGAGGCCAGCCGGCAAGGTACCAGGTTTCTGCGCGGACGTACGTGCGTCGCTGGTGGCCCTCCCCTCCTCCTCTCTAAAACCAGCCCATTACATCAGGCTGCGTGGTCTTCAGGGATGGTGTGTGGGTACGACGACCGCCGGTCGGTCTGTGTTCTGATGGAACAGCTCGCATACTTACTCATCGCAGCCCCGGGGGGCGACATCTATGGGGGAGGGAATATTAACTCTCAAAGCGCAGCTCACACATCACACACATTTCGGGGGTGCGGCCCGTGCGTGACCGCCGCATTGATGGCTCTCTGTTTATCGTACAGCTGGTTCGGTATGCTGGTAGGGGGGGCCTCGGTGTTGATAATGACTCGGGCCTAAACCTTCGCGGCTCGTCGAGAGTCTCTAGGCGAGAGCGACGTAATGTCACTCGCGACTTGGCTTTTTTAATTTTCATGCCTATCGTGTCCCGGAGCAGCGAGAGTGGCTTTCTCCCGCCAAGCCGCCTATCACGACTTTGCTTTAGCCCGGCTCTATGTAATAAACTGCCATGGTCCATGGTCGGCTGATTAGATCTGTGTGATACGAAAGAAGCATGGCCCAGTCCCAGGGACCCGAGCCTTCCCACCCACGACTTTGCTAGGGCGCTCCAGGGGATGTCGGTTTTGGTGGGGGAAGAGAGAAAGGTGGAGGGAGGGGGGGGCGTGCAAAACATAATTTTCGTTGATTTCACCTGTTAAGGTAGCGTACATATTTGAAATAGGCTTGGGCAAGCCTGCCTCGGAGGAGACGTAGACCCTTGTCGAGCGCGCCGGTGCCCTGTTTAATACCATACCCCTAACTTAACCAAATCACTTTGGTGGTCGACCACTTGTTAGGCCTTCCTCCCGGCAGTCCCGTCCAGCGTGGTCGATCATTCAAGGCTGTCTTAGGCGCTGGGCTAAGCCCATTTCCTTTTGCATCGCGATGATGGCCAGCGCCGCCGCAGCCCAGGCATGGGTGGCTTTCTGGCTCCTCTCCGCCCATCAATCCATAATGCCTTACCTAACGGTGGGTTGGTCACCTGCCCGCCGAAAAAAGCACCTCCCCTCAGACGTGCGCGACGCACTGTGATTGTCACACCCGCCAGGTCCAATGGAGGGTGGTAAGAATGGCTATCAAGAACAAGCGACGGACACGACGCGTACGCTTCCAAGATTGAGAGAGGACCGGTCTAACGCACAATTCACTCATGCCGCCAAGCTCCGGCCTTGCGACAATAGAAAATGACGAGCCCACGAATGAGATGTCATTTGTAACACCGGACACGCTGGCGAAAGGGCTGGGAGGCATGCAAGAGGCGGGATTAGCGTACGCTCCGGCGACCGGTCCACGTTGGCAATTGCAAGACTTGAGTTATTGGGCCCCCTCCCCGCCTTGCATTGTCTGTGGAGGAGAATAGACCGGGAGCACGCCAAAGGCCGAGGAAGGACCCCGTGTCATGTCTGAAAATAATGTGTTGCATATCATTTCGGGCTTAGGATACGATGAAACAGCAGCGGCGCCCGGGATCAGAATCATTTCGATGTTCTCTCCCAGTGGTCATTACCGAATGAGGCCCGGCTGGGATCGCATGGAGGCGGGTGGTCAAGACAACGCAGTGGGATTCGGACTCGTAAACGAGGACAGAGCGGATCGTGGAGACTTCTTTTCTCACTCATTCAGTTGCGGAGTCGGGGGTCAGTTTCGTTCTCGGGAATGGGGATGGGCCAGGCACCGAAAGTGGCCGCCAGCAAGGCATGTCGAGAAGCTAGTTTGGGGCAGCTTGCGAGAAGAGGTGCATGCATGCATACATCCATCATTTCGGCCGCGCGCAGGATCATGGAGGGACTATGGAGCATGGTTGGCCTCCTCCCAGCGGTACGCCAGGATATATTAGGTCACGTATGGAGGTTGCAGTCGTTTATTGGGAGCCCTGTCTCAGTGCGGTAAGCCCATTGACACTGGTGATGGGACCGGCTGCTTACCTCCATCCCTCCTTGCCCTTGAAGGTGCTGGATCGGCGCAGCTGCTAGCACCTCAGGTGGCCCAGAGCGTAATACTACCTGCCTAACCGTAGTATATTGGGTAGGCCGGCAGGTACCCAGGCGGCAGGCAGGCTAGGCACCCTCTGTACCGCCCTCTGTGTGACCGTGCCAGTGGGCGCTTACACTAAAGGTACCTACCTCGCAGGAGGAGAGTCATGCCAGCCATGTCACACTAATAGCACTGTAGCAAGGCCTGACCTGAGGGCAATAATAAGATGAGGTTGACATCGGTCCAGACTGAGACCGCCAGAGTAGCCCCTCTCCTCTGGGACCACCCTTGTTGTGGATGCTTCTGCATTTTCGACTTTTTTATACCTTCTAGCTCTGTTCGAGAAGGTGAAAAAACAAATTAAAGAGGAGACGGCGAAAAATTCATGGCAGGGAAGGACAAGACACAGCTGTGAAGGAGCTGAAAAATTCAACTACGTTACGCCCAGTCGTCTAACTTAACCCAGCGCCAACAAATCACACACCGGTCTAAGACTCCTCTTTTCCTCTCACAAGTTCTTGCCCCCTTCCGATCGCTCTGTGCCTTTCGACCACACCGCAGGGATGGTCAAGTACATCCTGACGCCGTGGCGGGACAGGGAGGAGCTGCTTCTTGTAAGGCACCAGTTCTATGCTGCGTCTCCGTCATGGCTCGGAGAACACAGCCGTATGTGGCACCAGGATGCCACCAAGCACGGCGGCTTGAGTGAGGGGGACGAAGAGGGCAAAGATGATCTTGGCAACCCTGAAGCTGGAGAGCAGGAGCGGCGGCGGCGTCGGAGGATGGCGGGCGTGGAGAGGCTCAGGCGCAACCAGCGACTGCAACTTCACCAGGCCGTGGCACGGGTGTCGATGTGGATGCAGCGCGGCAACTGCCCGCACATGGTGGAGTCCACGGCCCTGCTTACGGCAGCGGTGCTGAGCGACGAGGAGCTGATGGTGAACACGAAGGCGACCGGGGTCGACAATGTGACGGCATCGTCGGCTTACGCCGTAAGAGCGGCCTACTCAGCAGCGTTCAGCAGGTAAGTGTGACGCTATCGATTCCAAGCACCAGACCTGTTTTATGCCTGTTTTACCCTCTATACCGCACCCCTAGTCCTCCCCCCCATCACATTACATTACATGGCCCAGGCCTGGCTCGGCCGCTTCCTACCAAGCGCTGAGCTGAGTGCGCTATTGTGACGGACCAAAGTTTCGGCCTTCACCTTGAACCTTTGCTGATGAGCGGACGGCTCCACTCTCCAGATTCGTCACCGGTTTGTTGGACGGCCACCAGGACAAGCAGCGCAAGCAGAGCATGTACTCCCTTGCCAGGACCATTGGTCTCCCGGCTACTTTCGTCGAGCTGAGGCACCAGTCGACACATGAACAGCTCCCCTCCCTGGCCAAGCTTCGCTCTGCAGCCAAGAAGGCGCTACGGTGGATTTGGGGGTACTACTGGAGACACCTGGCTGGTGATGACCTGCTGTCTGAAACGTGTGAGGATGCTTTGCTGCGCTACCTGCGGGAAGGGGATCATGATCCTGATGCCGACAGGAGAAGCCGCCTCGCGCTGGAGAGGCGGTGGGACGTCGGCACCCTGCTCAGCTGCCTCTCCCGCCTGCAGGACACGCTGCCAGGCAACCAGGCATATGTCAAATGCATGCGACTATCGCGGGAGCTTGTGGAGGCAGAGGAGGAGGAGGATCAGGAACCGCCCCAGCCATTTCCTCCGGCCGCTGGCCCAGCATCGGATCCTCAAGACGGTGCGGCTGCCACCGGTTGGGCGGTATACCAGGGAAATTGGAAACCGAAGCCAATTGGCGCTGTGTGAGATAGATGATACCCATAAATATTTTCACGTAGCATGTGAGATGACTGCTTGCTTAGCCTTCCCTTGTACAAGTGAAGTTTATCACGTGTATTCGATTACGACTTTGCTGCTCTGAAATTTGCCCTTCTGCACTGCAACGCTCGCCGTCGTCGATGTTACAGTATCGGTTTCGTAAACAAGAAGTAGAGATCTTATGAGCATGCTGCCATGGGCGCTGTTTTCTTGCGATTTTGTCCATCTGCTCCACCGTAACTCCGCGTTTGGACTTCCACCAACCAACGTCATTCCATTACACCATAGGTGATTTGTAATTATGCCAACATAGAGCATCGTCAACCACCATCCTGCCATTCTCGTAGAGTGATGAATCGCCTCGCATTACGGAAATTCCCTCTGAGACAGATTGCACGGCCCGTGAGACTCGACCATTTACCCTGGATTTCGATTATAAGGCTGACCAGCGGTTGTTCTGACATCATAGTTTCAGCATATCCGCACCATGCATATTGAGGCTATTCCACTGTGTGAGTATTCGTGATGAAGTGTTATCTCACGGCAAGAATACTACAATTTAAAACTATTCAAAGGAAGGGAAACTAATTAATGATCAATGCAGGGGTGGGAAGTAGTAATAACTACTCTTACCTCGTTATAGATGACAAGTCCAAGGATGCTGTGATCATTGACCCAGCCAACCCTCCCGAGTAAGGACTACTGCGATTGCATTTTCCCGGTTGCGCATGACCTCTAACGGGCCTGATAGGGTGGTTCCAGTGCTCAAGGAGGCAATCAGCTCTGGCAGGATCAACTTGACTGCCATTGTCAACACCCACCAGTATGTCCAGAACCCAATTACTGGACTCTTGATAAAGGACTGTAACTAACAAAGGACAGCCATTGGGATCATGCTGGAGGAAATAAGAAGCTTGTGAGTTTGGAAACCGGCATAGTTCAAAGTGGTCAAACACGAACTTACCATGGCCTATTTGTAGCTTACTGAGCTCGGCACTCCCAACCTGACTATCATCGGTGGCAAGGATTGCGAGGGAGTAACACAAACTCCTAAGCACAACGAAGTCACGAAACTGGGTGATATCAAAGTGACCAACATCTACACTCCCTGCCACACCCAGGATAGCATCTGCTACTTTCTGGAGGACAGCACTGGCAAGGCCGTGTTCACTGGTGATACCCTCTTCATCAGCGGTAAGCATCCTGTTCATTCCTCAAGATGGTTGGACTGGGGTGAAAGCAGAAGTAAAGTGACAGAAAACTAATACTGGTTCACAGGATGTGGAAAGTTCTTCGAGGGAACAGCTGACCAGATGCACGAGGCTCTCAACAAGCGCCTCGGAGCTCTCCCTGATGAGACTGTTGTCTATGTGCGTTGAACACACCCGCCCCCGAAAATGCAAACTAGGAGTTAAAGCCCGTGTTTTGAGGGACTCACTTGCTAACCCAACAAAACTTGCGAGGATAGCCCGGCCATGAGTACACCAAGTCCAACGTCAAGTTCACCGTTTCCGTCTCCCAGACCGACGCGATCAAGAAGCTGCAGGCGTTTGCCGACGACAACCAGGTGACGACCGGCAAGTTCACCATTGGTGATGAAAAGGTTTGTGATGCTCTACATGACGCATTCTGCCTAAGTTGAACGAGTTTATTAAACTAATGCGTGGAAAAATTAGAAACACAACGTGTTCATGAGGGTTGAGGTATAGCTGAATGCTCCACAAAGCGCCTCGAAGAAGCTGACGAGATTGTGCAACAGGACCCGGAAATCCAAAAGGCAACGGGCGAGACCGACCCGGTCAGCGTCATGGGCAAGCTCCGTGAGATGAAGAACAACTTCAAGTGAGGAAGTAATCATACTCCCTCCAGTATCACAACATGTTGGATACAGTACTAACAACACCAACCAGACCACCGGAGGCAAAGATATGAGTACGCTTTTAAGTGTCAAGGACATGGACGAGGGCCAGGCGCGAGGGGGAAATCAATAGCTGATGAGATTACGGAGAACAAGGGAAAGGTGTTTATTTCAATTGAGCCGAAGAGCAGAGTCTGGGTTATGTCCCATGATACTCATGTTACGACGAAATTTCAATCACCACATGTGCATGAAGAAATATCTCCATTGACCGCGAGGCACCCGTCACAAAGGACAGCGGCGCCGCAGGCGATGCTCTGGACATCCGTCAAATTTGACGGACCGATTTCAATATTGCTTCACTGTCCACACTTGCTCGCTCTGGGACATAGGAGGCGGCAAGCTCTAGCATTTTTAGAAGCGGAGTTTTTGGGCTTGGATTTTGACCAGCGCCAGATGTCGTCGTTCGTGCCTACGAGAGACTTACCGTCGGGCCATTGAGAATGCGGATTATCAAGAGCTGGCGAGCTGATCGAAGCAATTCTGGCGGTTGTGCTTTGACTTGAGGTCATGAAAGCGATTGTTTGTTGGATGAGGTTGAAGGTCGGGAGTAATTTTTTCAAAGGGTTCCGAGGTAATATGTACACAGTGTCAAATACCCGATTAGTAGACTCCACACTGTCCCAGTATCTTATCGTTGATAGCACGTCCAGAAAGCGGATGTGCGCCGTCACGCATATACTCACATCGAGTCCCAGGGCGTGTCACAGAACAAGATGGTGAGTGAGTTCCTCGATACGAGGCCTATGGGAATCCCCTCTAACAGTACGTCAACAGCCGCCAAAGCGCAAAACCGGCGCCGCAGCCAGCGCACCTAAGGCACCACCGCGATCGAAGCTCGCCAAAGAGCACAACATCTCGGCGCAAGAGGAGGGCGAGATTAAGGAGGCCTTCAGCCTCTTCGCCGAGCCCATGGACGGCGAGAAGAACGGAGTCATCCCGATTGACGACGTCAAATCGGCTCTAATGTACGGCACACTAGAACCCTTGCCTCCTCATCATAGCTTGCGCTCCGTGCGATCGTCCCCATCCCTTTGCTAACGTTCGCATCACAGAGCCCTCGGCATCCCTGCCTCCTCGCCCGCCGAGCTCAGGGAGTTCATCTCCATCCTCGACCCCGAGTCCGACGGCTTCGCGACGTACGAGCCGTTCCTCGCCATCTGCGCCCTCAAGTTCCACTCGCGCGAGGACGACACGGACGAGGCGCACCGCCACGAGCTCGAGGAGGCGTTCCGGCTCTTCACCAACGGCCAGGGGGGCACCATAACGCTGGCCCACCTCCGCCGCGTCGCCGCCGTGCTCAAGGAGGACGTGGACGAGGAGGTGCTCAAGGACATGATACTGGAGGCGAACGGCGGGGCGGGCGTCGCGAGGGGGGTCGAGCTGGCCGAGTTTGACGGCGTGATGAAGAATGCCGGCGTATGGAGGTGAGGAGTGCATCTTTTTGAGTAGGTTTTCTTCGTATATGCATGGGGTCATCATATTTATAGCCGGGGTTTGGCTTCTCGCGTGGCGTTTGGGGGGGTTGACAGGTAGTTTGTTGTTTGATATTTAAGTTTGGTCTCACTACACAGACCTCGTGGAGCATAATAAACAAAAGAAACATACATTGGACACGTACAGCAAGCCTGAGAAATGTTAATCGGGGAGATCAGTTGCCATTTCAACGTGGAAAGCAAATGCAAAAGGTCTGGATGAACAGCCATAACCACCAGCAATTCCACTACGAAGTAGAGGTGACGTGAATAGTTGAAGAATTCTGGTGGGAATGAGTTGAGTAGCCTTTCACTGAGCTAATTCAAAAGACAAAACAGATGGTCTATTTAACCCTAGTATATTTGCCGCCCAACTATAAAGAAAAACGCCAGATCGATGCCTTCGCTCTCGTTACATTACCGATCTCATATGCTGATGATGAACCTCGTTTCCAAATGTGGTTTTCCACACAGAGAATTGAATTGATTGGCAAGGAGCCAAGAAAGAAAAGAAGAGAAGAAAAAAAAGAGAAGAAGAAGAAAGAAGAAGAAGAAAGAAGAAGAAGGCAAGAAGAAGAAGGCAAGAAGAAAAAGTAGTTGGGTTGAAAAGAAGAGAAAAAATGGCCTCGATTTCGAGACGTTACTCGGGAATGGGCTCCTGCTGCAGCTGCTGCTTCTTCTGGGCCTTGAGAGCTTCCGCCCTCTTCTGGGAATCCAGGACAGCTTGCAGCTCGGGTGGAGCCTTGAAGCCAGCGTGCTCGGAATGCTTCTTGTAGAAGTAGGTATCGGGCTTCGGCTGCAGCTCGGCGGGGAGCTCTGTCATTACGCATTTGAGGAGGCCGTCGATCGAGGCCTTTCGGGATCCCTCGCGGTGCCAGATGGTGATGAGGTGGGAGTTGAAACGGACCGAAAGTCCAACGCCCGCAAGCTGGTCATCTAGAGATATGCTGTTAGTAGATTGCCCATTTTCTAGTTTGTGTACCCATCCGTCCGTTCCGTCCTTTGCTCGAGGAAAGAAAAGGATGAAACTCCGCCACGGGGATTGTAGAATCAAGCTCACCTCCATCTAGAGCGCCCTGGAGCTGCTCGCCAATAGCCAGGAGCTGGATCTGCGTCCAGAATTCAGGGCCCACAGTCTTGGGGACACGGAATGTCCAGCTGCCACCAGTGATATTACGGCGATCCTCCCAGACAGGACGGAAGCCCTGCTTGAAGAGGTAGATGGACTCTCGCATCTTGATCTGGTCGATGGGGGTGTTGTTGTGGTATCGCCAGAAGTCCTGGACCGACTCGATCTGGGTATCTAGCTTCTCGAGGTTCGAGTGGTAGTTCTCTTCACCTTCCTTCTGGTCTCTCGCTTGTCTAGCAAAAACGGTCAGCATGCTAATCGCCCAACAGGCTTCGCCCGTGGGTTCACGAGGGTAGAGTGAAGCCCAGGAAGATATTTCATGAAAGCTCACCCGTCGAAATAGACATCCCAGTAGTGCTGGGTGGGCAGAGCCCTCATGTTCTTGAACATGTTGCGCTTCGCATCGTCACGTTGGTCCGAGGGCGCACTGGAGGTTTCGTTGGCGCTTTGGCTCTGCGACAGGCCGGACAGGCGCTGGGGGAACGCTGATGAACGGGGGTTCGACATTGTGAGAAGGGTTTCGGCAGTTGAATCGAAGAGACAGGAAATGGGACAAGAAGGGAGAGCGGAATAGTGCAGGTAACAACGTTCGGATTGTGTCGAAGTGATGCTCTCAGCAAGCTGTCCTGATTCGGGGACCCTGGTGGAGGGGCTGACTGTGGTTGGCGGGTAGCACTTAGAGGGGTATCTTCAACGTAAGAGGCCAATGATCTTCACGTAAGCGGATGTACTGCGAGAAAAGAACGGGCTCGGAGTGACTGGGACCTGGGTGGAGGTTGAAGAGCAGGATGGAATACGGAAGGGCGAGGCTTTGGTTTTAAGAAGCATTCGGCAGACTGGAGCAGCAAAGGATTGGCAACAAAGGATTGCTCGTCTACTAGCTTGCCATTACAAGAGTCAGCTTAGTTTGAAGCTGAGGTTGACAAGTCCACTAAAGCTAGTGGTATTATTATCCGTCCCCATGCTGGCCGTCAGCGATGGAGTTGCGAAGCCATCATGCCATTTCATGCCGCGAGGAACCACGGTAGCAGGTCTTCTTGCATACAAGAATTGCTGGCTGGTGACAAACGGTGGTAGTACCATTTGCCAGCCGCAGCTCTGAATAGAAGCCGGCAATGCTACTGTTCCGCAAGGCTAGCAAGCAAGGGTGTTGGTGGTAGGTCGCCAAATTAGAATCAAGCTATCTGTGCTAATTGAAGGTGTCTGGGACCCATTCGGGGACGGAGCCTGTCTTGGTGACTGGAGCAGACCGGAAATCTGGCGGGTAGGTGGGATGATTGGCGCAGGAGGCAGCGCTAATTACTGACGCAAACCGTCTGCAGGCGGATGATGCTCGTCAGAGATTGGCAGATGGACTTGAGAGGGCAGCTTAATGTGATGCGTGTTCTCTATTGCGGGTGAGGCCGTTCATAGGGCCATCTACCGCTTGAATTGGCGAACTTTGCAGACAGATAGCCGCACAGCTCAGTCAGATATTGTATGTCGTGTTCTCTATTGACACATGCCTAGTTACTAAATATGAACAGAGCAAACGAATCAACGTCATACACAGCCCTGTCGTTTCGGATGTGGCTTCCATCTAATCCATCATAGTAATACTATGGATTCACAGCTACCAGCAGGAAAAGAATTAATTATAGTAAGCCAATCTTATCGTCCAGCTGGGACTTGAGTTCGTCTATTCCAAATCAACATCTTGCGAAGCACAGAGCTGAAGTTCATTCGTAATGGCACAAGCCCAGAGCACATCTAGGCCAACATGTAGCAGACACATAACGTCCCACGACGGCATGGATCCTCGTGCGGGCGGCCCCTGAATCGGCCCCCAAAATCCACCAAGCCGTTGTGGGCGACGACCCTCAAAATTTATTGCTCGGCTGGTGGTGGATATCCTCCTCGTGGCTCTATTTCTGTATGTGAAACCAATATCCGTGCTTCCAACAAGCCTCACATCCCTTGTGCGGGCTATCTGATCCATCCGAGACACCTCGATCGAGAAACATGGCGTCCCAAGCCTCATCGACCAATTCGGGTCTCCCTCCAGACCTGTTCGACACCACCACCGTCATCTCCCTGCTGTTCACCGTCGCCATCGTGCTCGCCGCGTACTCGACCTCCAAGCTCGTCCTCCCCAAGTCGACCTCAGGCACGCTCCGCTTCTTCTTCATATGGCACCTCGCCGACGCGCTATGCCACTTCATCCTCGAGGGTAGCTTCCTCTACCACTGCTTCTTCTCCTACATTCCCACCTCCGAGCTGGGCCCCGACCATGGCCTCTTCCCCACACCATACAACTTCCTCCTACACGGAGGGGACCGTGTCTACGGGGCCCAATCGGGTGGAAGCAACCCGTTCGCCCAGCTGTGGATGGTCTACGCCCGCGCGGATAAGAGATGGGCCGGCGTAGATCTCGGCGTCGTCAGTCTAGAGCTGTTGACTGTCTTCTTTGACGGGACGCTGGCGTTATACATCTGCTACTGCATTGCCAAGCGGGACCCCAAGACTAGCATATGGATGATCATTCTTGCTACTTGTGAAATATATGGAGGTTCGTATTCTAGATTTCCCGGCTGGGTTGATGAACCCAGGCGAAGCGGCACCATCATTTGGCTAACTTTACGATGCGTAGGATTCATGACATTTTGTCCCGAGTGGCTTGTTGGCAATCTCAACCTTGACGGAAGTAACTTCATGTATCTGTGGGTGTACCTTGTCTTCTTCAACATGCTCTGGGTTTTTATCCCCTTCTACGCTATATATTGGGCAGTTGGAGACATTTCTTCAGCCTTGAGCGAGCGTAAAACCAAGAAGAATCTGTAACATGCATACTTGATTGCAAAAAGTATCAGGCAAGTTAGACATGCGACTACGGTGGGTGTAGTGGTAGAGCGAGAATATCACAACATGGCAATCACGATTACAGAAGTGATAAATGGTGTTTAACTCGATGTTGATTTCGTGCTAGGAACTATGTAGGGTATTCTAGTGCATCAAAGCACAGTCATAATTGCAACTCCATCGTTGTCGTTCCGTTCCAAAAAGTGTTCCAATCCCAGACGCCTTGACGTTGTCTTGACATAAGTCGGTGGGGAGAGCTCAAGAGAGCAGCTTAGATGGCCTCCTTGTGAGCCTCGCCCTTGGCGTCGTGCTTAGACTCCTTGAGCTTGTCGCCGGCGGCGTCCTTGGCGGCAGAAGCACTGTTGGTCTATGTTAGTAGACGTTCTTCAGAACATGTCTGCTGAAGTTGAGGAAAACTCACCGAGTGCCAAGGTTAGCGTTGCTGTCCTTGGCAACCTCCTTGTTGGCCTCCTTGGAGGTACCGGAAACGGCCTGCTGGGCCTTCTCGGAGACGTAGTTGGCGCCCTGCTTGATGGAATCCATTGTGAATGTGGTTGGGGGGTTTGTTTGAAAGTGGTGAAAGTTGTTTGTTTGAAAAGTTGGTATTGAGCTTTGAAGTTGTTGAGGTGATGAAGAAGAAAAGAGATGGAAGCTTGGAGGGCAGGCTTTGGGGTTTAAGTAGAGGAGACGAGCTCAGAGAGGCCTACGATAAACTGGCAGGAGCGATGCGTGCCTGGTGCCATCAATGACAATGTGTTGAGCGCAGAATCGGACCTAGGCTGGAATTGGCCATCGTCACTCCCCAAACCATACTCATTCACTCTGCCTTGCAGCCATTACCTCACAGGGGCAACTGCGAACAGCCCGCATCATGTGAAGGAACGGCCTTCGTCGCGTCATAGATTACTACGTTCATTGCGTGGGGGGTGGCCTCTGATTCGACGGATTCAAGCGAGATGTACACAGATGTCCCAAGGAGCCTTTTGTCCCTGTATGTCAAAGGCCCGGATTGTGGAGTACGGCCGGGAGCCAAGGCATTGTCAAACTAAGCTATGGTGATTTGCAGATATGCATCGTAGTTGAAGCTCCGGGCAATTCTGCATCGGGTATGACGTCAGGTGAATCGAACTGTGAGCTCCCAGTTCGCAGCAAATCAGGCACCCCGCCGTGGAGACACAATACCGGGCGCTTCGTTTCAACAAACAACGCGCCCATCATGATGATGTCTATTGCCACATGCAACAGGTGCAGCCGGGTTAGTCGCGTGTGATGCTTTCTGACTGGCTGCCTGGCTCTTGCAGTTGCCATCGAAAATCATGATGACGGCACCATTCGCGTAAATGTGGAGCCTGGAGCTCCCACAGCTTTTCACACAATCCCATCGAGATCACAGCGGAGGATTCTCTCCGCCAGCATTGCAAGTTTGTCTTGTGATCGTGATATTCGAGAGGAGAATCTGTTGAGTCTGGATATGACATTCGATTGTCCTATGACGGCCCATAACACGGAGTTTCGAGATATGTACTGTGGTCCACCGAAGGGCCGAGGCATCAATTGTGCTATTGCCAAGGTTACGTGCAGTTGAGGTAGCAGCAGCAACTCCGCCCTAAGCCGTCATACGCAATGAGGCTGAAGGCAACCGAGATCAGTTTTGCTACCTTTTTACAGGCTACGCTGACAGTCATCGACGATGTATCAGTTACACCGGGATCTCTTTCCAAATGACATAATGCCTGCTAGCCCTTGAGGAGGTATTGCACCAGCTGTGATGTAACTTTTCGTTCAAAGAGGGCAGCGGCGTTATCGTTATACTTCTTTAGTGCCCCGAAGATGGAATTTCACGTGGAATTGTTGATCACGGCAAGGTTGATGTAGATAAGCTTCGTGCCCGTCCATCCTTCACATGTTTGATCGACGTTTCAATTTAGCACATGCTTTCGAGCTGAAGGGCAATGACACCGATGTTGCCTATGTGTTGTTTCATGGAAGCTTAACTGCACGAATGAGGTTGGCATCAACGTAGGGTGATTTTATAAGTCTTTTTGTACGTTTCTGTACGACATGCTTACTATCGTGTTGAAAAGCCACCAGCCATGTTTCATGCCAGAGCTTCAAACTATCGTACACAATCCTAGGGAGACAGTTATAATACGATTGAGTATTAACGTAGTATCAACAAGCCTCCGCGTAAACAAGCCTTAGTCTGAGCATGTCTCTATTCTTCAAGTAGAGTATAGCAGAACTTCATAAATGTTTAATACCTAGTAACCCACAAGACTGACCTCATGAAGCCTGTGTTATGAGACCATACAATAATTCGCCCGGTTTCACAGCCAAAGATGAACCTAGTACGCCGAGAGAAAACAAGCACAGAATCAATTGGTCTTCTTCGACTTGCCTGAGCCAGACGTCACTCTCCTCTCCTCCCACTTCTCCCACCCAGACTGGCACGGGTCCTCCTCGACCACAAGATCCCTCAGCCTGAACGCTCTCGCGATCGGAGTCTCCAGGCCCCATCTCAACCACCCAGTGTACCTCGCAATGCCCACAATGGCGAACCATCCCACCGCCGAGACCACGCCGGTGATGCACCCGGCCCAGACCTGCCTCTCCGTATGATAGTTGAGGTATATCCGGCTCCACGACGTGAGCGCCGCCACCACCGCCCCGGCCACCGTGACGGCCATCCGCTCGCCGACCGACCACGGGGTGTGCGCGCTGCTGGGGGCCCGGCTGTCGACGGCCTTGGAGGGCTTGTGCCGGACGAGGAGGAACAGGCCGAGGGAGACGCTCCAGAAGGCGACGAACTGGGCGTGGGAGCTGGGCATGCCGTAGCCCTTGCCGTGCATGGCGGCCGGCCGCTCCTCTTTAATGAGCCGCTTGAGCGCGAAGTTGAGCGCCTCGCAGGCGAGCTGCCCGGCGAACGTCAGGCCGATCTCGACCTCGCGGGTCGACCATATCAACGTTGCGTAGACGACGCAGAGGGCCTGGGGCAGGAGGGCGAGGTATGCGCAGAACAGCGAGATCGGGTCCTGAGGGTCCTAGATGGCACGATCAGTCAGGGACTTGCGGGCGGCGGTTGGGGGGGCTACGGGCGGGCATGGTTGAGTAGTACATAGTAGACATGGGTCACGGAAAGTGACGCCAGGGGTGTTGGATCACCGGCCATTGTCGAGGTGGTTTTCAAGGCCGTGGTCAGCTTAGACCTGTCGTGTCTTGCTCCTATGCATGCATTGCTCGCGGTCTGGAAACGTGCCGAGGCTGGCCGGGAGAGGTGCAAGTAGCCAGCTGCGACAAGTCCCCCTTAGTACCAAAGAAGTTTGGGAAAGAAGATGGATAGATGCAGACGGGTAATCTGCAGATGTCTCTCTGCTCTGGTTTCGCCCAACGCCCGTAGCCGCAGGAGTGTGGCGAAATCAGATATTCGAGGTGCGAGACAGGGCGCGCGATGGATAGATAGATCCGGCAGCTCGCTTCAATGATGCAAGTTCGTGGGCATGTAGTCAGCCGCTCCGCCATTTACCAGCGGCTCAGAAACTCTACCCCGCCACAGCACGCCACAGCAGTCACCCCGTTTCTGCCCCCATAATCAGAAATTATTGCGCTCGGGAAATGACTCTTTCGCTGAAGGCCTGCCCCACCAAGCCAGTTTCTCCATTAGCCTCATTTTCTCTTCAGATAAATATTTGATTACTGAAGAGGGGTTGCCGTGTCCTTTGATCGTGCAGCGGTAGCAATCAATTTCCTGCTAGACAAACTAGATGCGCACAGAACTGCGCACTCTGAGCCCCATGTCGATCCAAGCAAGCTGGTTATAGCAGCTACCCTGGACTTGAGTCAGCGACAAGTCACATCATTATCAGTTTGTAAGAAACCTTGCCACCAGCCTTAGAACATTCTACTCACGCAACCCCAGATCAGTGAAAGAGTTTGTAGAGGCACAAAAAAACAACTGTTTAGTGTTATGGTGCCACAGGCTCTACTAGACAAGTTGGAAAATGGACTCTGATAGTGATGACCCGCGGAACTCCGAGCTGGAGACTCTCGAGGCTATCTACCCCGAGATCCGGCATCCAGATATTCAGGACAAGTTCACATTTGAAATCGAGCTTCCTGTCGAGCCACAGGCCCCGGTGACAGTTACATTTCCCGCGGCAGTTACGAGTGAGACCACTCTCGCCGACAACCCGGGACAGCCCTTGGAGGCGGAGGTTGACTCTTCCCAAGTCACCTACCTCCCATCCCTGACTCTCAGAATCACCCTCCCGAAGGGCTATCCTGAAGACAACCCGCCCATAGCCCACGTATCCACAAACCCTCAGTGGCTGCCCCAGACAACCATCGAAAAGCTCGTAGGAGATGGCCCTCGTCTGTGGGAGGAAGCGGGGCGTGATATGGTCGCTTTCACGTACATAGACCACGTCCAGCGAGCCGCCGAGGATGTCTTTGGGATCACCAGCTCCGACGGGACTTTGCAAGTTGCTTCGGAACACAAGCTTGCTGTTCTGGACTACGATATCAAAGCAAAGAGGGCCGCATTCGAGAAAGGGACTTATGAATGCGGTATATGTTTAGGTAAGTTGTGATACCTCTTTACCAGCAGGTATTATTGTTTTCGGTACTGATTCACACACCAAGACCCCAAGAAGGGATCGAAATGTCACAAAATGTTAGACTGCGATCACATCTTCTGTCTACAGTGCTTGTTGGACTTTTACAACGATGCTATCAAGGAGGGCAATTTGTCAACCGTCAAGTGTCTTTCCCCAAACTGTGCCAAGGAACGGGCTGCTTCGCAAGCCAAAACCGGCGGCAAGCAGAAGAAGCCCAAGACGTCCCTCAGCCCTAGCGAGCTTCTACAGATCGGCCTAACAGACGAAACGGTCAAACGCTACGTGGCACTCAAATACAAGACGGAGCTTGAATCAGACAAGAACACCGTCTACTGCCCTCGCCAGTGGTGCAACGGGGCCGCCCGCTCCAAGAAGCACAAGAAACCAGAAGGTCTCGAGCTCAACGAGGTTTCCGACGGGGAGTCAGAGACAGAGGACAGCAACAACAACGACGACGACGAGAAGGCCGCGGAGAAGAAGTCCCTCAAGTTCGACCGCGGCGAGCTCCTCTCCATCTGCGAGGACTGCGGCTTCGCCTTCTGCAGCCGGTGCTTCCAGTCCTGGCACGGCGAGCTCAAGATCTGCCACCCGCGGGCCAAGGACGGCGAGCTGACCGAGGACCAGAAGGCGTCGCTCGAGTACATCCGGCTGCACACGAGCCCCTGCCCGACGTGCGACGCGCCCGCGCAGAAGACGCACGGCTGCAACCACATGATCTGCTCGCGCTGCCAGACGCACTTCTGCTACCTGTGCTCGGCCTGGCTCGACCCGGCCAACCCCTACATGCACTACAACACGGTCCCCGGCGGCAAGGTCACCTCGTGCTATATGCGGCTGTGGGAGCTGGAGGAGGGCGACGGCGACGATGTAGGGATCGAGTACGGCGGCGGACGGGCGAGGCAGGAGGCCAACAACCCCCCGCCGCCAGCG